AGTAGTAGTAGTAGTAGTAGTAGTCGTCGGAGTAGGAGTAGGAGTAGTAGGAGTAGGAGTAGGAGTAGGGGTAGGATTAGTAGTAGTAGTAGTAGTCGTCGTCGTCGTAGTAGTAGTCGTGGTGGTGGTGGTAGTAGTAGTAGTAGCAAGAGTAGTGGCAGTAGCAGTAGCAGTAGCAGTAGCAGTAGCAGTAGCAGTAGCAGTAGCAGTAGCAGTAGCAGTAGCAGTAGTAGTAGTAGTAGTAGTAGTACTACTACTACTACTACTGTAGTAGTAGTACTAGTAGTAGTAGTAGTAGTAGTAGTAGTCGTAGTCGTCGTCGTTCTCGTCGTCGTCGTCGTCGTCGTCGTAGTAGTAGTAGTAACAATAATAATATAGTAGTAGTAGTTTTAGTGGTCGTTCTTGTTGCAAGATGTCTCCCAGCATCGACGGAACGGGCCGAGTCTGTGCAAATCTCCATACAGACCATCTCCGCAGATAGATTTTGACGTCTTGCTATGCCATGCAGGATACGCAGACACCGACCCCCGTCAAGGACTCTGCAGAGAAGCCCATGGATTCTGGCGTAGAAGTCGAGAATCATAGCCCCGAAGGAGATGGTGGTGTGCAAGGTTGGGCCCATGGAGACAGCGGCAGGTTAGCTTCTCTTTGCATGGCGAAACCTCAGAAGCCATTGGCTCAAACTCGGCAGGGCGAACCTCATTTGGGTAGAACTGACGTGTCGTGCCCACGGTGTCCTGAACGTATTTCCAATAGCCGACAAATCTTCCCTTCCCTCCATGAGGTTGGGAAACGAGTGCACACATTACATCACTGCCTGCCATGGGACTGTAAGCACTGTATGCTGGCAATGTGCTTGCAGCAGTCGACGTGCAGACACAACTAGCCTCCCTAAGTTTGTAAAGGCTCTCTCAAACATTAAGACATCAGCCTTGGCCGCTGGCAAAGCACGGCGGTCGAAGTGCCAAGCCCAGTCATGGAATCGAAGTTTAGTGATCTCGATAAGCGGTGTGCTCTACTCCACTCCGCTCTTTTGTGAGGCCAAAGCAATGGTGATCACCATCCTGGCGGGCGGCGAAATCACAATCCAAACGATTGGAGCTTGCCTCGCACCGCACTCACAAGGAATGCTTTCGGATGCTGTGCCAGTCGGAAAAGAGTATCGCCTGAGATCTCCCAACAGCTGGCCTCGCCAAGGTCTTTTTTGCAACGCGAATCTGCCACTGGGCCTTTGCAGAATGCCTCAGCTGTGCTGTAGCATTGCCAAGTATCGGCGCAACACAGCAGCATGTCGGAAGCTTGAGGTCAGTGCCATTCACATTTGGTGGCTGTCACCGCGCAACAGGACTCCAGCTGTTCCCTCTGAACATTGACAGACTGCATGCCTCGGCACCCTACCCAAGCTCCCGAAGGCCCGAAAGCTTCAAACTTTAAAATCTCAGACTCAGAGAGAACGAAGCATCCTGTCAGGAATGTGTACATCAAGGAGTTTGCAGCTGAGGCCGCGAAGGCACTCCGCTTGAGGTTGTCTGGCATATGTAAGCCTTTCAGAGTTTCGGCCTGTCTTCGCCATAGATCCGGCTTTTACCCCCGGAAGCTAGCGTTACCGGTTTGGAAGCGAAGAAGGGAAGGCCACCCTATGCTATGTTATGCTATGTTATGATGAGTCCTCCACGGCGCCTCGTTTCCTCCGAGGGCAACGTGGACATGACCTTGATGCTGAAGCATCATCCAGAGTGCTCGGCCTCAGAAGCCCGGTCCAGGGCCCATCAGGGCCTCAGGAGGGAGATTTTGATGATCCAGTCTCTGGGTGGCTCGAGGACCATGTCTGAAACCTTCGGGGACACCTCCACCACGGAGTTTCAAATAGTCGAAGCCACTGCCGGCTACTTAGCATTGCGGTCGGCGCCTCGCTGGAACGGGTGGGGGGGGGGTCGCGCTAAGCCGCTAAGCCCTTCCTCCTCGAAATCCTTCTGATCAAGATTCTAGAGGTTACACAACCTCAAGTCCCCTTCAAGAAGTCGAAGAAGACCCTTGACCTATTCAAGCGTGAAGAATCGGGTAGGACCCTCACTTCCCCGGACCCTCAAGTAGAGGGTCCCGAATACTACTAGTAGGATATTCGGGGGCATAGAAGAGGGTAGATGAAGGGCTTAGGGGGCGTATCAGGCTAGGCCTGCAGCGCATCTTCTCCTCCTGGGCAACGTGATGATGCACCTCAAGGGTGGCAGCTGGTCTGAGGATTTTAGGGGTTTTACGGTGTTGGCATTTAAGGTTCAGGGTTTCAGGTTTTAGGGTGTTCAGGCTTTTAGGATTGGCAAACGGAGGTGTTTCCGGTTTAGGGTTTTAGGGTTTGGGGCTTTACTTTAGAATTTCGGATTTTAGGCCCTTAGGGCTTTAGGGTTTCAAGCTTCGAGCTTACCGGGCTTGATGTTTTAGGACTTGCGCCTGCTTGGGGTGTATGGCTGCGGGGTTTAGGTTAGGTTTGGGGGTTTTTGCTCTAGGGTTTATTGCCGAAGGCCTTTCGAGCTTCGGGTCTATGTGATGCTTGGGGTGGAATGAGTCTTTCGAGCTTTGGGGTGCAGTTAGCACTCGGCGAGATGCTTTATCTCAGACCCCCTTGAAGTGCATGCAGTAGGAATTCCAGGTCCTAAACGCCAAAACGAAGGCCTAAGCTGGCGTGCGGCCCGAAATCGAACACAGAGTACATGCCGCGCGCAGAGTGGCGTGTTTCCTCTTGAGCCAGTCCTAGTGACGGTACATGACTGTAGCTGCAACCGTCGTCAAATGAGCAGAGCTTACGTTTGTGCTCCTGCTTATTCATGGTGCGAATAGGAATGGACAGAACAAGCACGACTACACGTGTAGTCGTAGTACTACGACTGCTGCTACTGCTGCCGCTGCTACGACTGCTACCGCAACCACGACCTGGACCACCACCACGACGACGACCACGACTCCTGCTGCTTACTACTACTCCGCGATATGAGGCGATCGTGACCGTAGTCCCGTACCAGTGACGGCGGCGGTGGTGTTGGTGGTGGTAGTAGCAGTAGTAGCAGTAGAAGTAGTGGTAGTAGCAGCAGCAGCAGCGGCAGCAGCAGCACTAGCACTAGCAGTTGCAATAGCTTAGTGATACCAGGGAGGCTGTGATTGCGGGAAGTAGTCGTGGCAGGCTGCCTAACGATCACAAAGGTATTGATGCACTTGGGTATCAGAGCATTACCCATGCAGCTGCACAAGAGATCCAAAGCCCCAGGCGACATCTTCTCGTGTGGCTTGCCCCTGGCTCAGAGCGGCATTGTGCGATAAGGATGTTTCTCCATGCAGACCGAGTCAGGCATGCCTTTCGTGGCGCGATCGCTCTTGCCTGAGCTCTGCGTCTGTGGCCCACGAGTCGGTTTGATTGGTACCGGCAAGCTTGCAAGGCGCCTTTCGGTCTCATGATGGTCATGAACACTCCCGTCATATCGGGAGCAGGCAACCTTCTAAGCTCGTGCATCTGCGTTTCTCTCTCTCTCTCTCTCTCTCTCTCTCGCTCTCTGCGTTAGCACGTGTGTGTATGCGAGCGTGCCTGTGATAATTATTTGTTCTTTTTGTGCGTGTCGTGTGTGCGTGTGTGTGTGTGTGTATCTGTGTTTCGTGTGTGGACAGTGCTAGGCCCCGAACCACTAAGAAACACCCGGGGCTCGTTACCAGGAAGTTGAAAAGAACGGTTTTGAAAGCTTCTGCAGACAGCCCTTGCTCGAAGACCAAACTGTCACGAACCCCCAAGCCTAAACCATCCTAAATCGCCCCGCTCCCTGCTGACATTCCTAGACCCAAACCCAAATCGTTCAGATGGCTTGGCGAGGTGGCTCGAATGCTCGGATGCGGCAGTATCTGCCTGTCTCCGACCTGGACACCCTCTATGTCTTCCAATGGGCCTGCGGCCTGAAATTGAAAGAGGGCTTCGGATCTTTCCCATCTAAAGGGGACTAAGGATTCAGTGTTTTGGATGTTTAGTTTAGTATTTAGGGTTATTCGAGGCTTGTGACGCTTACGAATCTGGGGTTTTCGACACTGGGCAGTAAGAGCACTGGTGACAAGACGGAAGAACAAGAAGAAGCAGAACAGCAGCAACAGGGACCGGCAAATCCATGTAAACCGAATGAAAGCGGTACTATCCCACCTCTCAGCGAGAGCCGTGTTCAGCGGATCAAATCTATAACCCAAGCCCTAAAGTCCTAAAAACTAAATCCTAGATCCGAATCCTGCAAAAACCCTAGACCCTGAACCTAAACTCTTGATCCCTAAAGGCCCTAAACTCTCCAAACCTTATTAAGCCCCCCAAAGCCCCCCAAAAAAAAAACACCAGGTGCTGCTTCATCTCGTGGGCTTCTTCTTCTTTCTGGGGCCTACGACCCTGATCGAGTTGCCCGCCTTCGCCTCGGATCTCTCATCATGACCTTCCCTGTCCTGTTTTTCGGTGGTACTTTTAGGGTCCCTAAACCCTAAACCCTTGAAGGAAGCCTGGGTGACAAAGGGACCAGCGAAGGGCAAAAATCACAAAAAGAGAACGAGGTTGGGATTTGGGTTACTTACGGTTCAGCCCTCCGAAACAGGATTTTGAACTTGCAATGCCGCTGGGAGGTCGCAGTTCTGGAGCTGTTCAACCCGCCGGAGCTGGCGGAAGGCATGGCATAGTTTGAGAAAAGGTTCATTTCCATTACATCTTAGTGAGTCTTAGTGTCTACGATCTCTGAGAAGGTTTATCGCTGTCAGGGAGATACAGTTTGATGAATGCTAGAAGTAGTCTAGAAGTGCTACTTTTCTCTTGTTGCTGCTGCTGTTGGGGCTTGGACCATGGACCATTGCCGTTGTCACTGTTGCTGCTGCCATTGCTGCCGGAGCCACAATCAGCTGCTGTTCAGGCGAGACATGGGTTTGGGCTGCGCAATGGCACGCTGCCCAGCACTGCCTAAACGGAAACAGGAGTTGGTCGGGACTTAGGGGTTTCAAGGCAAGCTGTAAAAGGCCGTACATCTCAGCGCTTCATGCGCAACAAACGCGGCCAGCTAGGAACAGGATTACAGAACAAACAAAGCTAGTTGACGGAGGCTGTGGTACATCCTGGCCGGACTTCGCATCGTGGCCTTGCCAGTTTGCATGCTGTTTTTTTTTCACATTTGGCATGTTCTCGACTCGCTAAAGTAGGACTGTCGCTTGCAAGCTCCATGGACTTCCACCCACGCCTACAGAGAAGACAGCTTCTGCTAAAGTCTGAGATCACTATCAGTAAAGATGCATGTACCTTCTGTTGCAAAGGATACTGGTGGTCAGTAGAGTGGCATGGCAGTAGATGCTGTCATCCGAATTGATGATGACATAGTGCAGATACTACCAGCACGATCACAACCAAGACCAAGATCCACAAGCACCACAATTGTCATAAGATGCATAAGCACCACACGTGATCCATACGTCCCTAAGGACATATTGGATGCCAGGTTTGTCCCATCTTGTTGCTCCGGGCCTTGCCGATACTTTTCTCGGACAAGGTGCGCGGTCTGCTGGAGAGAGCCAGCTACGAGAAAACATGTGATCATAGAGTGGTTAAGTGGAACAGTGCAGCCTGTACCGGCTGCAGGGAGACGTTTGCATATATGTGTGTCTGTATGTACGCATATGTATGTGTCGGTGTATGTATTTGTGCACTGTCTGTGTATCTGCCTGTCTGTTTGTCCGTCCGTCCACCGTCCGTCTGTCTGTCAGCATGTCTGTCGGTCTGTCCGTCCGTCGGTCTGTCTGCCTGTCTGACTGCCTGTCTGTCTGTCTGTCTGTCTGTCTTTGCTCATGTACGTAATGTATGTATGTATTTATGTATGTATGTATGTATATATACATGTGCTTATATATTATATATGTATATATGTATATATGTATATATGTATATATGTATACATATATACACATACCTATAAAGCATTTAAAGACACCGCCCCCTTGGACCAAGCAGCGCAGCTTCAGCACTTACCGGCAAGGGTTAGGATAGTCCGATTTGGTGATGTCCTCTCCGATGCAGACGATGCTATATGGGCATGTGGACGTGCTCTATCTTGGTCGCCAACTTGTGTTGCTTTGTCTGCAGGTGACCAGTCCAAATACTTTGAGAATGAAGAAGTGGTATGCCGAGTTCTGTGCAGAGGCCTCAGGTTTGGGGCAACAGCTGTATACTTCCTGAGATGGCTTTTTAGATGCTCTGCCTCATTCCTCAGGTCGGCGAACTGGGCTCTGTGGTGATGTACTTCAACGCGGTTTCAGTGATGTGGGCAACGTTCAAAACACATGGGAGTTCAGGAGGCTGCGAACCCCGAACCGTTGTGATTAGTGGCGTGCGCATGCCAGGTCTTCGTGCTGCCTGGACGCTCATATGGTTTCCTGGATGCAGCCGCTGTCCAAGGAGAAATGCTGCTGGTTTTCCCCTGGTGAAGTGTTTTTCTTCATGTTGGGCCGCGGCTTCGGTTTGGACCTCACTGGCAAACTCAGAGCCCCGAACCGTCATTCATCTCAGGTGCTTGTTCTCGGCATGCTCGCCGAGTCCCTGCGCATTCTTTGCGAACTGCCCTCGGTCTCCTTGCGACCATCACTACCCACACCCCCCCCGGTCAAAGTTGGAGACCCCTAGGCCCCAGGCCCCCAGGCCGTAAGCTTGGGGATCCCGTGGAGCCCGAACCACTACACCCTAGCCATGGCGCCTGCGCGCGAGGAATGCCAAGAGAGGTTCCTTTTTTTCGTTTAAGGCTGGCACACCATGAACCCTTACAGTCGGCTTCTTCCCAAACCCGAAGCTCCGTCGGTGGGAGGGGGGGGGGAGTTCAGCTTCTGCACGCAAAAATTCCTACTCAGTCGTTGCAGCTCTATGAACCTACCTTGCCGTATCATACACCCACATAACTTGTGACATACAGCCTACTTTACGAAGTTGCCTCACGGCTATGAACTCTGCTCTTCTCTGACGAAGGTCTGGGGCATCTGGTCACTTTGGTTGCTTCATGCCGGGAGCTACAGATGCACGAGGCAATAAGGTAGTTATCGACAAAACCTGTCCCCCCAGGCCCCAAAACAGAGCCGTTACAGTTCCCTGTTTGGTGGTTATCTCCTTATAGGGAAGTATTTTCCCAAGGGCCCCCTCCGTTGAACATTTAGCGAATCCAGGGTCTTGGGGTTCAGGGCTTCAGGCTTAGAGTCAGGGAAAAGAATTAAAACTTTGAGTTGAGAGTTGGGATGGGGACGCAGGGGTTTATCGGGTGCGGAGTTGCCGCGGGGGGGGAGGTTGAGGGTGTTGGGACACGGATGCTTACGGGCGAGTTGTTTGGAGGTGAGGAAGCGACTGAAGACGTCAGTTCCCTCGAACCTATGCCAAACATCCGAGGCCGTGCTGCTGGTTTGCTAAAATCTCTTCTCACTGGAAGGCGTAGTCAAGAACAATTGACGAGGCTAGTGGCGAGCATATTCCCCTTGTGGCTTTTGAAACGGCATGTGGTTTGTTGCACACTGACGGTTACATAGTTACCTGTCAACTTACATAATAACATGCAGCCTTCGAGAGGGACACGCCTTCACAAGCCTCGCATCTCTTCGACGAGTGCCGTCCATGCCTGAGCCGACAAAGGCTTGGGATACGATTGACTTCAAGTACGAGTGCGGCTCACCCAGCTTCATGCTCGTGAATACAACGGGTGCTTGTTCGTTTCAGGGATCCTTGGATTCCATGGCTACCGAGGAGGTCTCTCTATGCGGTTTCCTTCTCTCACAGGGATGCCATGGAGATTTCTTGCAAATGCTTGTGGCTGACTGGCTGACTCTACTCCCACTCAAGGCATGGCAAGGTCGACCATGAGCCAGGGTCCCGTGATGACGGGACTCAGGTGGCCCTGGCTTGACTTCTGTGCCTTCAGACTTCCCTTGCCGCTTTCAGCTCAGTGCCATACTCAAAGCAGATCACTGCCGAGCCAGGAAGCTGACGAACCGACAGCTGGACGCTTGTCTGCATCCGGAGGGCAGGCACGTCTCTCTTACTCAACATTTTTGCGCAGCTCATCTGCACACAAAGACAGACAAACGGACAGGCAGACAGACAGACAGGACAGACAGACACACAGACACACACAGACACACAGACACACACAGACACACACAGACACACAGAGACACACAGAGACACACACAGACACACACAGAGACACACACAGAGACACACACAGACACACACACAGACACACACACAGACACACACACAGACACACACACAGACACA